TTTAGCAGGCAGTAAACATGATAATGAAAAATGACAATCTCCCGGAAATCAGTTTTTGGAACTTGGGATGTCTGGGCTTGTGACATTTCATGGGCATTACGCTGCTGTGCGTCATGTATAAGTTAGTCTGTCGCTGGACATATTCTCTGGACTCTTTATGAATACTCAATGTATATGCAGAAAATTGAAAAAATACATAGAAAGTTCAGCATACTGTATGCCAGCATTTTAGAAGATTGTGGGATGTCAGGCATACTCTGTCTAAATTGTCAAGGTGTGACAATGGCTTAAGCAGGCTCTTAGCAAAGAAAACTGTTTTATCCTTGTTAAATCTGTAAAAGTTCGGCCCCACACCAGGGTTTGACTGACAGAAAATAGAAGAAGACAGAACTTTCAATATTTTTTTGGGTCTTTGTATTCCTGCTTCTCAAGGTAAATGCTACTTAAAGGTAATGGAATTCAGTGGCATTCGCACTAATTAACACAACATAACTAATTTCTTTAAGAGAGAAAACAGGCAACTTTGAGATCCTTGACCCTAATTTCAAAGGTAAAGCCCAATAATTTGTTCTGTTTTCATCCAGTTTAGTATGACTTGAAGATACAAACTGATCTGGGTTGGATGGTAAATGTGCTTACAGAGCACATCATCTAGTTCTAGAACCACAAATCTCTGTAGACTACATTCAGTCATTTACCAATTTATACAGACTTGGCACTGATGGTGCCAAGCTTAACTGTAGCCAAAGTGGCCGTGGGGAATGTTGAAAGAAATGGCTGCCTTACATCGGTGCCAGCCGTCTGTCTGACCACCAACAAATGTGGCCCACTGCAGGACTCTTGAAGGCTGACCACTACTCAAACTATTAGCCACTGAAGCTAAAAACTACATAAGATAGCTGCTAATTAAGCTAAAAGCTACTACAAAAAAAATAAAAAATTACAGAAGAGAAGGCTGTAGTTGTAAGGCAGTAATCCTTTTCAAATCTGTTCTTTTCAGGAGCGTGACACTTACTTTTTAGTTCCACTACTTTGAAGCAAATCCTGTAAACTCAGTGACTTGATGCAAACAGCTGGGTTTCCTTAGATAGTAAAATTCAAACCATTCAGTCTGCATAATTCAAATAAATTGTCTCTGTAAAGTGCCTCGAGATAAAATGCATTGTGGGTTCAGGCTTTATAAATAGACTGAGTGCAGTCATTTTGAATAAAAGTCTAACAGGAATTGGTAGAGTAGTCTTCCTTCTAGTCTTCCTTTCCTACTCCTGTTGGTGATCTTAATGTTGACCCCATAAAATATGAACAAACGGGATCAAAAAGAGGCTCCAATTGGATTATTTTGGATGTAGCCAAAGACATGCAACTAAGACATGCATGTACATTTAAAGAGCAAAGTAACAAAAAAGCTCTGTGAGACCACCCTTCTTCCTTGAGCTGTGATTTTTTAACAGCCCAATACTTGAATCAATGCTCCCCTCCAAGAAATCACTTGCAACTCCATTATGCTGTTTTGGCCAGTCTAAAACTATGTGTGAAACCAGATTGTGCCAACTGAAGTTGTGAATTTTCTAGATGTAACCATTCATCGACCAATCCACGGACCAAACCAGCAGGATGACTGCATCTGTCAGATAGTTACTGCATGTCTCCTATTCCGTCAATACTTGGCTGACTTCTAGGTGGCAACATATTTGGTAGGTGGAGGGATAATTATGTAAAAACCTCTTTTTTGTGGCACTATATAGCATTTTCAAAGTAGTTAGACATGAACCGGACAGCAAGAGAAAGGGGGAGAAGTGCAGCATTTCTTTTTTGCAAAGGAAATAGAGAAAGTGGACAATCTTTCTGGAAGTGTAGCTGGTTTACTCATTAAGGCTTGCCCTTTGAGAACCGTTCCTCAAATGCAACAACAAGCCAGCACTCACTGGAATGTCACTTGCCAGTGGTAGTAGTAAGTGAAAACTGATGCCATCTCTTGAACAGCCTTGCTCATCGACCCTGATGACTGCTATCTGTCTGAGCTGTCAGAGACAAGGTTCAAGCACATCCTTATCTCTCCTCTACTCTGCCACTTTGGCTCCTGCAGCAGGACTAGAGGTTGTTACTGCATTACAGGCAGATTCCATTTGGTACCATTGTAAAATCTAAGACAAACATTAGCTGGTGATGGCCTGCTAAGATGCAAAGATTCGAAGTGTCTAATTAAAAATTCCTCAGACAAAGTTATTGACAATCTTTAAAATCTAGCTTTTTTTCTTTTAAAAAAGAAAAGAGCTTTTTCTTTAATCCATACCTAAGGCAATTGTAGTCTTTTTTTAGTAATGGGAATTATGATTTAAGATTTAAAAAGAGCTTCATCTCATCAGATAGGTGAGTTGAGCCAATAGTTAACCTTTAAACCAGCTGCCATGACAAGAGCAAGAAAGGAAACAAGCAACAATCTTGTATTGTGTGCCTGTGCTTCAGTCATCGGGAGGAAAAATGTTTCTATGAATAGCACTAAAGTCATGGGGGGAAAAATAACAGGACACCATGATTCAGAAGCTTGTAAGGAGATTTTAGCAGTAATAGCTGGAAGTAGTTATTTTCTGTAAGACTTAATTCGTCTTTAACAGCACTGTGGAAGAATTTATGCCCATTTCTCTTTACCACATCGCTTAAGTTCATTGAGGTTTTTATGACAGTCGCTTATGTACAACATTTTCCCTGTACATTCACACTGAGGTTTGGACTTTTTTTCTTCCTTTCAAACTGTTAGAGGTTTTGTGTTGATGCTTATGGTCTGGGCCAGCGAAGGGTCCATTATACTTTAGTATACTATATACATTATACTATAGTTTTTTGTTTACTCAATAACTGTAGATCCAAATCATAACATGCACTATCCTCTATAGTTTGTGTGAAATACTTATGCCATGTTTTGCCAAGCATGATGTTTCACATCATGGCAGATCCTCGGTTCCTCAGTTCCATCTGACCAAATGGCATTCTCTTTGATGTCTTGGGAAGCATTCTGATGAAAGCCTTTTGTTGAATGCCATATTTTCCTGAGGGAAAAACTTGGTATTTTCTTAATCCTTCCAACATAACTTAACAAGCCAGCTGAGACCCATAGAGTCCACAATAGAGGTTTTGAGTTTTTTGCAATTAATCAGAACATGGCATGACCTGATATGGGGAAAACCCACATCTGGAAAGATTGGCGACTATTATAAATTGTTTTTCTATTTATGGGTATCACCAAATCCAGCATGTTCCATAGAAGAGATTTAAATCTCTGAAAGATAAAATAGGATAACATTTTTGGGCATCTGTTCTGCCTTTTCTGTTATTAGAAAGTGTTACTCTCTTGCTGTCTAAATATATTAGCTATATCACACTGTGTTGCACTTTTCCAGCACGCACTTGACGCTGATGTAACATTGAAACAATGTTCTACCCCAAGGTTGTATAACCATTGGATTATGGTGAGAAATTGAAAGTTCGATTTACGTTAAATCCTTTCTCAATTGAACATTAGCCCTCAACGTTGAGACGTTAGCTATTGGTTACAATCCCAGAAAACTTCTTCCATCCATCATTTTTACCTCCTTAGTCCTTGTCAGAGTCGGAGTGGGCCAATGCCCATCCTGTCAATGGACGAGAGGCGAGATGCACCCTGGACACACAACTGTACACACTCACACCTTAGGACAATTTAGAGAAGCCAATTAACCTAACATTCATTTTTTTGGGTTGTGGGAGGAAGCCGGAGAACCAAGAGAGAACCTACGCATGTACAAGAAGAACATGTAGAAAGACCCAGCCCCCCCCAGGCCGAGAATCAAACCCAGAACCTTCTTCCTTCCACCATGCAGTCCCCAACACAACTTGAAACCAGTTTAATGACAACATAAGACTGATGTTAAAAACGTTATGTTTAACCAATGTTGGCTTTTGGTTGTCCAATGTTGCAACCCATATCCGACGTTGATACATCGCAGTTTGTCTGCTGGGTGGAAAAAAAAAACTGATAAAAAATGCATCTCAGATGCTAAAAAAGGCTCATTTTATTTTTAAATTTTTTCTACAATAACACACACTATCTATTTACTGTTCAGTTACTTGTCAGGGCCAGAATCAGCTTCTTTTGGTCAACACCTGATGTTTACAAGTGTTCTTTCATTTGTTGTAACAGTCGCTTTTCTAAGGACCTTTTCCCCTTTGCCTTGTATTAAAACACAGGTTAACTTCAGACCAGAAAACTGCTAAAACATCTGCTTGTATGGAGGTGGTCACACTAGCTCATAATCCGTTACTGAAGAACCTTTGGAAAGGAAATCCATAATTATACTTTTTACTTCTATCATATGGAATCTCTTTTTTTTTTTACACCAGTCTTTGCTAACTTAAAGAAAATCTCTCGTTTACAATCTTAATTCTGATCAAAGCAAACAGACAGTAATTATACACTTGTTATTGTATTTTACTTTTAATTCCTTTCATTTAAACCTAGAAATATGTTTCCAAATTCTATAAAAATGAGGATTTGGTTAAAGTTATTAAAGTATTAATAATATGAAACTAACAGATAGGCTAAATCTGTTACAGTTATTTTAGTGTGTATTTTGTAGCCAGAGGAAGGTTAAATACTTTATTTTGGGAATTTTTTGTATGGGTTTGAGTAAACGTCTGTTCCCATGCTCATTGTTGTAGGAGTTTATTATACATATTTCCATCATATAAAATTCTCCTGATGTTGCAAACATCTAGTGATCTTCCCACAACAAGTCAAGGCCACACAAGGAAAAGGTTTTTAAGCTTTGGTGAAGTGAGAGAAACCACACCGGTGAAAGGAGGAGCAGGAAAACTGTGGGAGGAGGGCTGGCTTAACCGGAGTGTGTTAATTTGTATCTGGTTCTGTGATGTTTGAGGGGAGGGCTGCATTAGAAAGCGGTGGTCCGTGGAGAAACGGGGAGGGGGGAGTCAGATTTCAGCTCCAGTCCTGATGCTCTGAAGCTGCCTTTGTTTAACTGGGAACCAGAGGGGGAGCAAGAGCAAGTAGGAGGAGGAGGAGAGAGAAGTTTTTACTTTGGAGGGAGTAAAAGAGGGACAGAGTGAGCTCCATCTCTCTCTCTGTCACCACCAAATCAATGAAAAGGGAAATAATTTTAGCTTGGATTAAAGCTCACCATCAGTGAAGATGACTTCACGGTAAATTAAACTCTGCATATATTCTGAGAATAAGTTGATTTGGAATTGTTTTAGTTTTCTAACTCTTCAGTGTGCTTTTATACAGCATTCCTCCCTGGTTCTTTGGAATAGCTCTCCTCCTTCTCTGTCTGTGCTGCCATCACTCCAATGCCTATCAGCTGCTGGACGGTATGTGCACTCTGTCTGCTGCAGGAACAGATCTCATTTTATCCTGCTGGTGGAAAAATATTCTTGCTCAGAAGTGTGTGTTTATTTAAAAGAAATTACTGAAATATTGCAGCTTAGATTGACTCTTCAGGAGTTGTTCTGTTAAGACTTTTGTGAGTGCTTTAAAACTGGAACTTTTGCTATACTCATCCAATTTACAGGAGTATTGCAGAGATGCATGTAAAGGTGTCAGTTTTCATGAATTTTAGATTCTATTGCGTAATCTCACCAAACTATTTTTCCACCTCTCTAAAACCAGTTTGGCCATTTCTGAGTGAGTAGCAAAACCTTTTTAAATTATTAAGTGATCTGAATAAATTTTTTATTTAAAAAGTGCATCAAATCATATAGATAATTAGGGATATGATTTGGACTACTTTTAGATTCACTACCTTCAGCAAGGATTTGTCATGGAAAATGAGAGTGTGGATGGTAAAACAAAGGCTTTATCAAGCTCTGGAAAGTTTGCAATTCATTGCTCTTAACTTCACAACCAGACGTCAGTGTATGATGAGATAACTTTCAGGCCTACTTTGTTTTTTTACGATAGTTTTCATTATTTATGAGCCCTCCTGCAAAGCTCTTTAAATACTCTAGAGGTTGAACTTCATTCCTTTAAGCCTTGACATTGTGGTGTATGATGACATACCTGTTAGTGCTTCACAGGGATTTTAATCATATGTTACTGGGTTTCCCTGAGAAACTGAAAGTGCTTTCCAAAGCAATGCCCTTCATTGCTTTTTGGTAAGACACTTTTTTGGAAAAATTGCGTTTGATGTTTTTAGACATATGGCAGTGTTTATCTAATGTCTAAACGTTTCTCTACTAGGATGCTGAAACTCAGAATTCCCTTGGCTTTAAAAAATGTTTTAGCTTCCTTGCTGTGAACTTGATACCCTGACATTGATAATGAAATTCCTCTGATCAATTTGGTGGAATATGAAGTAAATTATCTATAGTTTTTCCCAAACCCTGATTGATTTTTCAACTGCTCCTGGTAGTGTTATTACAGCTGGAATCATGTTTTCAAATCTCAAGTAATTGATCAGTCAGAACACTTCACACTTTCCCTATTAGGGCTTAAAGAAGTGCATATTTTCCTTCCCACTATGAAGAAAATGGAATGCATATGGATATAAATCCTAAAATCTTTTACACTCTCTGATTTAGGTTATTTCACCAGCCTTCAGACTACCATGCTAATAAGCTGTCATCGCTTTCGTCCCAAGGCTGGAATCCAGATGGGCCCTTTGCAGTTTTTTTTGTTCAGTTTTGACCAGAGAAGTCTGATGTCACAGGGGTGCCTTTGTTCAGGCGTAGTTAGATGGTATTATTAGTTAATATAGTCTCCACAGAGATTAACCATTCACCTGATGTTTTGTATTGAGCTCCTCTCAAGCTGGAGCTTTCAAAATTGGAAGCAATTTAATGAGATGATTGGAATATGATATTTCACTTCTAGGCTCTGTTAGAATTCGTCATATTGCTTGATCCAGTTATCAGTTCATCCTGTTAGAGCTAAATATGTCAATTATTGTTACGTGATACATCAACACAGAGTAGCCATTCTGTAGAAGGATGTCATTAATAAAAGAAACAGTCAAAGGTCGATGGTAACGCTAAAGAAGCTGCAAAGATCCACTGCCAAGGTGGTGCAATCTGTTAATGGGGAAAACTGCAATCTGGGTGCTCTTAAAATCAGGATATTGTGGAAAAGCAAAAACAAAGACTCTAGAAATCAATTTTTCTATTAAAAAGTAGAGGATACACAAAACATGTGGAAAAGGGGGCTAATCAGATGAGCTGACACCACTTCAAAGATGGAACATGGTGGAGACACTATAATGCTGTGGGTTTACCTTTTTCATTATGGGCAGGAGGCTGACTGACATCAAATTTTCTCTTCTTCCTCATGTTTATGTGCAACTTTGTGTTGATCTTTCACAAAAAACCCGCTGAAATACAATGAAGTCTGTATTTAAAGTGTGACTAAATCTGTACAAGTTCAAGGAGTGTAAAGACGTTTGCCAGGCTCTGTGTAGTCCAGCATAGAGTTTAAGGAAAAGAGACACACGTTTAGGATCCTACAGATGTTGGCTTGGAGTGGTGGCCCATCATCAGGCTGTTTGTCTGTTTGCCATATCTATAATCCACTGCCATGATTCAAATACTTCTTCAAGGGAGAGAGCGGGGGGAAAATAAGTGTGTGTGTTCTGGAGTATGCAGGATGACTCGCCAAAGAAGGCACCAGGGACAAATATTTCCAGGCTGCATGCTGTAAATACTGCTGAAAACAGAGCTGTCACCACAGCAACATTCCCATTTCTGGGCGTATTTTTTATTTTTTTTTTTTAGAAGAAGTTGGTATATTGATTTTCCTTTGTTTGGAAAAGGGGAAATTGTTTCCTACAGGTCTGTCTGTTACCAGTTTATCATACAGGGAGAAATAATCTTTGAATGCTCTGCTTTTAATTTTGACAGGAAATGACAGAATTTGACAGGATTCGTTTTATAAATACAGCATTTTCTTTTACATTGATTGATTGATTGAACACACTGGAGCTTAATCTTTGTGACTTAACTGAGTTTATTAGGAAAGATAATGATCAGTTTCTCAAGATATCTTGGATTAAATAGCAACAAGTGATGTACGCAAGGCAAACAATATGTTTACCATTTATAAACAATACAAGGATAGAAGCTGTTTAACTAGTAGATAAAATTAGTCTTCTGCTTTATGTTGTAAATATAAACCTGTTTAGGAATTAGTTGTGCAGCATGCTTGGTTTTATTGAAAACAGCAAAACCCTATTAAGCACATAGTGAAATATTTCATTAATGGGGATGAGCATGGTCTGCATATCACATGTACACTCAACACACATCTATGCACAAAACCAGATTAATGGTGCTCTACATCTGCTCCAAATGATGTTAATTATCTTGAACACTAAGGGCCAGATCTATCATAGGTTTGTGTGTATAAAACCGTGAGCTATTTCACTGCGCACGCTAAAAAATGTACAAACTGATCTATCAACAGCGTGCTAAAAGGATTTGGTCTTTAAAACGTGCTAAATAGCGCCTCTGATCCATTTAGTACTTTTTCTGCAATGAATATGCAATATGGGGCGTTTACACGCAAAAGTGCGTCTTGTGGCAGGAGAACATGTAAATATATTAATTTAGCAATCGCAAAGTGATTTATCAAACCTGAAAGCAATTTTGCTAACGGTATCTGACTCTATATTTAACACGTTTCAAAAGAAGGTGCAAATGGTCTGTATGCGTAATTGCGCACACATGGCAGCGGTTATTGTCGCAAGAAGGAGACATTGAAATGAAGCAAGGAGACGCAGAGAATGCATTTTTTCACTCCGTGTGAATATTTTTGGAATGAATGAGGAAACGATCATCAAAACATATCGTTTATCCAGCATTGCCATTTTGGAGCTGTTGGAGGAACTCCGAATGGATTTGGAGCCAGCCACAAGGAGGACCCACGCAATACCAGATATCACAAAACTCCTTGCAACATTGCACTTTTTTGCATCTGGGTCATTCCAGCGTACGGTTGCAGCGAGAGCTGGGATCTCCCAATCTAGTTTTTAAGAAGTGCTGTCCGACGTTCTAAATGCCATGTCGCCCTGACGCCCTACCGGAGAACCCCGACCTCTGCGCCTGTGGAGCAACATGCCAATGCTGCGGGGATGCGTACGCGCTGTAATCTCATCCACAGTCACTTCTTGTGAGCAATTTGGTATGTGCATTTTTCTACAGGCCAATACAAAACACCTGTTTTTTTTGTTTTTTGTTTTTAGTGCAGTAAAGTAGAAATTCAGCCACATACCACCTTAGGGAATAAAGGTTGCCAAAGTTTATATATATATATATATATATATATATATATATATATATATATATATTTTTATTTATTTTTTTTTTTTTTTCTGTAGGGGGTGGGGGTGTCACTGTAAAATTTAAATTTCTTAATGTACTAGTTTGTACAAACTACTTTGCTGCAAACCACAAAACGCGCAAAACCATCATTTAAATAGGGCGTCTCCAACAGTTTTGCACCTGCTACTACGCAATCGCTCTTGTTAAATCACCCGCAAACCATGGTTCAGCCCCTCGCTCAAAATTCCAGTTTGCGAGCGCAAATTACTGCACGCAAAATTGGATCTTGATAAATCTGGCCCTAAGGGCGCTGTTTCTGTGTAGCGATAATGAAAAAGTTGATGCAGTTGGAACTAAGGTGGTTACTTTTTTGCTGAAGAGGGATGATGTTGATAGAGATGAGAAGATGAAGAGATGAGAAGATCATTGTCATCCGGTAAATAGGTAAACTCTGGATATACTTAGAGGAGGGTTTCAATTTACAGGGAAGGGACCTTGTCTACTGCTCTGATGTGACACAGAGGAGGACCTAAGTTTTAAAAGAAGACATTCAGTACTAGAGCAGATATGCATTCAAAACAGTGGGCAGTGAGGACTGGGATTGGTGAGGGGTAGGATCCGGTTCCACAAGGTTAAGAAGCAGGGCAATAGGTCCAGTGCCTCATTATTACTCTAGTATTGTCATCTATAAACCAGCCTCTGTGTCCAATCTTATCTATACCATCGGGAAAATGGAAGTCATTGGATAACTAAATAAATGTCAGCTTTTTTTCCCTGCTCTGTATGATTAAGCTGAAAAAAAGAGTTGGATATTTATGATTTGCTCTTATGCAAGGCTTATGCTGCAGCATTAAAAGAGGAGTTTCCAGGGGGTGACCATGTAGTGTGGCGCGATGCTCAGTGCTGAATTACCTCAAAAGTTCGTCTTGAATTCTTTAGAAGTCTGGGAATCACTTGGCAACGTGATTCAGGAGTAATGGAGCAGAATAAGATTTAAAATAAGCAGGTCAAAGTGTCCGGAGGCCCAGAGTTAGGCAACATCTCTGTACGCTGACTCAACT